TCACAACGTAAAAATTTTCGGACTAAAATTAGAATACCATTCTTTGAGTCAATATTTGCCTAAATTTTTGTACTACATTTTTTTCGACCAAAATTTAAAAAATTCATAACTTAGACAAAAACGCTTTAATTTGAAATCGGAAAGCGTTCCGATGCTAGTTTTTATCAGTTTAAAAAAACTGCATACTCAATTTAACATTAAAAGAGATTCGATTTTTTTCCAATTTTTGGCAATTTTAATGATGTAACCCCTTATAAAATTTTTCAATTTTCGGAGATTTTGAAAAAAAATAGATTTTGGCCGGAGACGGCTCAATCGACTCGGCTGATCGTGCTGATCAAGAATATGTATAATTTATAGGGTCGGAAATGATTCCTTCATAGCGTAATAAGCTTCTGACTAAAATTAGAATACCATTCTTTGAGTCAATATTTGGCTACATTTTTCGACCAATCAAAGCTTACAAAAATCATAACTTTGCCAAAAACATTTCAATTTTAATTCGGAAAACGGTCCTATGTTGTTTACTATCAGTGTAATAAAACTGCATACTCGGAAATGAGTCCTTCACAACGTAAAAATTGTCTGACTAAAATTAGAATACCATTCTTTGAGTCAATATTTGTCTACATGTTTTTACTAAAATTTTTTTGACCAATCAAAGCTTACAAAAATCATAACTTTGCCAAAAACGTTTCAATTTTAATTCGGAAAACGGTCCTATGTTGTTTACTATCAGTGTAATAAAACTGCATACTCGGAAATGACTCCTTCACAACGTAAAAATTTTCGGACTAAAATTAGAATACCATTCTTTGAGTCAATATTTGCCTAAATTTTTGTACTACATTTTTTTCGACCAAAATTTAAAAAATTCATAACTTAGACAAAAACGCTTTAATTTGAAATCCGAAAGCGTTCCGATGCTAGTTTTTATCAGTTTAAAAAAACTGCATACTCAATTTAACATTAAAAGAGATTCGATTTTTTTCCAATTTTTGGCCATTTTAATGATGTAACCCCTTATAAAATATTTCAATTTTCGGAGATTTTGAAAAAAATAGATTTTGGCCGGAGACGGCTCAATCGACTTGGCTGATCGTGCTGATCAAGAATATATATGATTTATAGGGTCGGAAATGATTCCTTCATAGCGTAATAAGCTTCTGACTAAAATTAGAATACCATTCTTTGAGTCAATATTTGGCTACATTTTTCGACCAATCAAAGCTTACAAAAATCATAACTTTGCCAAAAACGTTTTAATTTTGATTCGGAAAACGGTCCTATGTTGTTTACTATCAGGGTAATAAAACTGCATACTCGGAAATGAGTCTTTCACAACGTAAAAATTTTCGGACTAAAATTAGAATACCATTCTTTGAGTCAATATTTGTCTACATGTTTTTACTAAAATTTTTTTGACCAATCAAAGCTTACAAAAATCATAACTTTGCCAAAAACGTTTCAATTTTAATTCGGAAAACGGTCCTATGTTGTTTACTATCAGTGTAATAAAACTGCATACTCGGAAATGACTCCTTCACAACGTAAAAATTTCGGACTAAAATTAGAATACCATTCTTTGAGTCAATATTTGCCTAAATTTTTGTACTACATTTTTTCGACCAAAATTAAAAAATTCATAACTTAGACAAAACGCTTAATTTGAAATCCGAAAGCGTTCCGATGCTAGTTCTTTGAGTCAATATTTGTCTACATGTTTTTACTACAATTTTTTTGACCAATCAAAGCTTACAAAAATCATAACTTTGCCAAAAACGTTTCAATTTTAATTCGGAAAACGGTCCTATGTTGTTTACTATCAGTGTAATAAAACTGCATACTCGGAAATGACTCCTTCACAACGTAAAAATTTTCGGACTAAAATTAGAATACCATTCTTTGAGTCAATATTTGCCTAAATTTTTGTACTACATTTTTTTCGACCAAAATTTAAAAAATTCATAACTTAGACAAAAACGCTTTAATTTGAAATCCGAAAGCGTTCCGATGCTAGTTTTTATCAGTTTAAAAAACTGCATACTCAATTTAACATTAAAAGAGATTCGATTTTTTTCCAATTTTTGGCCATTTTAATGATGTAACCCCTTATAAAATATTTCAATTTTCGGAGATTTTGAAAAAAATAGATTTTGGCCGGAGACGGCTCAATCGACTTGGCTGATCGTGCTGATCAAGAATATATATGATTTATAGGGTCGGAAATGATTCCTTCATAGCGTAATAAGCTTCTGACTAAAATTAGAATACCATTCTTTGAGTCAATATTTGGCTACATTTTTCGACCAATCAAAGCTTACAAAAATCATAACTTTGCCAAAAACGTTTTAATTTTGATTCGGAAAACGGTCCTATGTTGTTTACTATCAGGGTAATAAAACTGCATACTCGGAAATGAGTCTTTCACAACGTAAAAATTTTCGGACTAAAATTAGAATACCATTCTTTGAGTCAATATTTGTCTACATGTTTTTACTAAAATTTTTTTGACCAATCAAAGCTTACAAAAATCATAACTTTGCCAAAAACGTTTCAATTTTAATTCGGAAAACGGTCCTATGTTGTTTACTATCAGTGTAATAAAACTGCATACTCGGAAATGACTCCTTCACAACGTAAAAATTTTCGGACTAAAATTAGAATACCATTCTTTGAGTCAATATTTGCCTAAATTTTTGTACTACATTTTTTTCGACCAAAATTTAAAAAATTCATAACTTAGACAAAAACGCTTTAATTTGAAATCCGAAAGCGTTCCGATGCTAGTTTTTATCAGTTTAAAAAAACTGCATACTCAATTTAACATTAAAAGAGATTCGATTTTTTTCCAATTTTTGGCAATTTTAATGATGTAACCCCTTATAAAATTTTTCAATTTTCGGAGATTTTGAAAAAAAAATAGATTTTGGCCGGAGACGGCTCAATCGACTCGGCTGATCGTGCTGATCAAGAATATGTATAATTTATAGGGTCGGAAATGATTCCTTCATAGCGTAATAAGCTTCTGACTAAAATTAGAATACCATTCTTTGAGTCAATATTTGGCTACATTTTTCGACCAATCAAAGCTTACAAAAATCATAACTTTGCCAAAAACATTTCAATTTTAATTCGGAAAACGGTCCTATGTTGTTTACTATCAGTGTAATAAAACTGCATACTCGGAAATGAGTCCTTCACAACGTAAAAATTGTCTGACTAAAATTAGAATACCATTCTTTGAGTCAATATTTGTCTACATGTTTTTACTAAAATTTTTTTGACCAATCAAAGCTTACAAAAATCATAACTTTGCCAAAAACGTTTCAATTTTAATTCGGAAAACGGTCCTATGTTGTTTACTATCAGTGTAATAAAACTGCATACTCGGAAATGACTCCTTCACAACATAAAAATTTTCGGACTAAAATTAGAATACCATTCTTTGAGTCAATATTTGCCTAAATTTTTGTACTACATTTTTTTCGACCAAAATTTAAAAAATTCATAACTTAGACAAAAACGCTTTAATTTGAAATCGGAAAACGTTCCGATGCTAGTTTTTATCAGTTTAAAAAAACTGCATACTCAATTTAACATTAAAAGAGATTCGATTTTTTTCCAATTTTTGGCAATTTTAATGATGTAACCCCTTATAAAATTTTTCAATTTTCGGAGATTTTGAAAAAAAATAGATTTTGGCCGGAGACGGCTCAATCGACTTGGCTGATCGTGCTGATCAAGAATATATATGATTTATAGGGTCGGATTTGATTCCTTCATAGCGTAATAAGCTTCTGACTAAAATTAGAATACCATTCTTTGAGTCAATATTTGGCTACATTTTTCGACCAATCAAAGCTTACAAAAATCATAACTTTGCCAAAAACGTTTTAGTTTTAATTCGGAAAACGGTCCTATGTTGTTTACTATCAGGGTAATAAAACTGCATACTCGGAAATGAGTCCTTCACAACGTAAAAATTGTCTGACTAAAATTAGAATACCATTCTTTGAGTCAATATTTGTCTACATTTTTTTACTACAATTTTTTTTAACCAATCAAAGCTTACAAAAATCATAACTTTGCCAAAAACATTTCAATTTTAATTCGGAAAACGGTCCTATGTTGTTTACTATCAGGGTAATAAAACTGCATACTCGGAAATGACTCCTTCACAACGTAAAAATTTTCTGACTAAAATTAGAATACCATTCTTTGAGGCAATATATATCTACATTTTTCGACCAATCAATGGTTACAAAATTCAGAACTTCGCCAAAAACGTTTTGATTTTAATTCGGAAATCGGCCCTATGTTCTTTACCATCAGGGTAATAAAACTGCATAAAATGGCTCCTTCAATTCAAAGCTATAAAAACCCGCAGCTCGCTGGCACCATAAATAATCCTTCCTGAGCTATTAGCTTTTGCAAGAATTAAAAAGAGGTTCTATAACTAACTAAAAGCTCGCGTTAGTTCAACAGTTTTTAATCCAAAAAGTAACAAATTTATTGTAAGCCCCTAGGAATAATAACGCCACAAGTATTACATATATACATATAGTTCCTTATCAAATAAACTAGATATACATACATAAATTAACATAAATAATAATTATATTAAATTAAATTAATTAATTAGTGCTTATATGGAAAAATAAAATCAACTTATTGAAAAGGATTGGGAGCCTAACTCCACAGATCCACCAGCACCGCAGATCCGACAAAGCTTTGAGTGGAGCTACCTCAAGGTCATGACCCAGATGAAGGACAAGGCATTCGTGGCATTCACACCAAGCCAACAGACACCTGATACACCTGGCACCTGGCACCTGGCACCAGGAGACTTGGTTGTTTGGCGGCTATCGATTGCTCAGCCATTTGGGAGGCGGCGCCAGTTTCCTGGCAACAGGAAAAGCCAGCCAATCAATCGGTTAGTGCTGTTAGATTTTCACACTCTCCGGAGATTTCTCCAGCAATAGACGAGCTTGGAAAACATGTCCAACGTGCTGAACACCATTCTCGCCGTGGACAAGGAGCAGGAGCTGCTGCAGAGTTTTATCCGCACAGGAGCAGCCGCCGAGGAAGAGTCTTTGGACGAGGCCAATCGACGTTCCAAGGGACGCTCCCATAAGACACCCATCTGGGAGCGGCGTGACTCCACAGAGCGCGGTGGACGAGGTGGTGGCAAGCAGGGCGATGATGGCGCGGCAGGTGGTGGAGCTGGCGGAGAAGCTGGGGGCGGTGGCAAGCGTGGAAATCGGATTGAGGCCGAACTGAGGGCCGCCCGGAAGCGGATCGAGGAACAGATCGCCAAGAAGAAGAAGCCCAAGGAGAACTTCGTGGACTTTTACACGGACAAGGATCGGGCTGCAGCCGTGAGCGCTGGAGCCTTCGATATTAAGCAGAGTCTGCAGATCAAGCAAAAGCAGGACCGGAATGAGGCGCTGCTTATCCCGGATGAGGCTGACATTAGTTCAGTGATTGCGCTAGGACTCAAGGAGATCAAGAACGCCAATCCGGAGAATGCCATACACTTCTTCTGCAAGGTGCGGGTTCCTTTTCTTTTTACTTTTTAGGGCTGCCGTCGATTTCAAGCCATTTCATCTATCTTTGACTAATTCTCCCTAAAAGACTCAATTTGTTCCTCTCAAGCACTCACCAGTCCATATTTTGTCCTCTTTGCAGGCTCTGGAGCTGAATGGCACCGACATCAACGCCCTGATCTCGCGCAGCAAGTGCTACCTGCTGCTGGGCGAGGCATCCAAGGCACTGCAGGATGCGGAGACGGCTCTGGGCGAGGAGAAGAACAACATAAGGGCCATATACCAGAAGGCCGAGTCCCTCTACTACTTGGGTCAGTTCGAGCAGAGCCTCATGTTCTTCCATCGTGGACTGCGTGCTCGTCCCGAGCTAGCGTCCTTCCGCCTGGGCGTACAGAAGACGCAGGAGGCCATCGAGAACACCATCGGCACCAAGCCGGGTCCAGCGCCAGGCGCTCCCACTCCTGGCGCCTCGGCACCGAAGAGTGGCAAGTCGCGCGGCAAGTCTGGAGAGGAGACAACGCCCAGGGTGCGACAGAAGCCAAGCCGAGCTGATCTGGAGCGCCGCAATGCCCGCAAGCTGCTGGGCGAACTGTGCGTGGACAAGGAGTATCTGGAGAAGCTGCTGCTGCATCCGGATCTGGTGCGGGCCGACACCCATACCGAGAGCATTTCGGCCTATGCCCGCGAGGCGGTGGAGTTTCTCAACAAGCGACAAGAATTCTGGCGTCAGCAGCGTCCGTGCACAGCGTTGCCCAACCACAAGAACCTGCCCCATGATGCGATGCCCAAGTGGTTCTAAGGAAGCGGTGGCCAGGAAGTAGTATCTTAAGCTCATTCAGTCATGTCATAGAGCTATAGCAAGCTTTGAAGTTAAGTTTCTGTTTCGGATTTCCCAGCTAAATCCATGAATAAAAAATATATATCATGAAATAAGGTATTTTTCTAGGAGAATTCAATTAGTCAAGGTGGGTAAATCTTTTTAGCGAGTATCATGTGGTTGGAGTGACGCATCTACGGCATTCCAACTGGTTTATTATTACATATTCTGTATTGTTAATTGTGTTTTGTCGGGGATTAATTCCGTCTTAGGTATAATTTCAACGTTTAAACAATTCAAGCAATTTCATTAATATTTCAACTCAAATGAAGATGGAGGATCCTCAAACTCTCGAACGATTAACAGTGTGTGTTTGTGGAATAAATATGTAATATCTATGCAATATTAGTACAATAACAATGGATATATATGCTGTATTGGGAGCATCTGCTGCTGTTACACGAGTGCCAGAGTTCCCAGTTGGTTTTTTGTTTGCCACTCTAACAATGCATTTATTTCATAAATTGACTAGTACGGCTATAATTCATTTAAACATTATACATTTATGCAGATTAGTTTAATACTTTTGTCGCTCATATAGTTCATTATTTCTTTTTGTTCGTCCTCGGCAAATCTGGGTGTTGGAGTTTGTCTCTGGGCCTAAACAAGTACAAAAAGTGCGCAAATCAAATAGTTATCTATGGGGTTCTCCATCTATGCAACTAATTAATTAAATTATTTAAATTAGTTAACGTTTAGAGTTGGCTTTGAAACAATCAAACAGGTAATACACTAGGTAACGCAGATTCCATGCGGAGTGCAGATATTGCCGGGCGTTCCAGGCCCAATATATTCGAGTATATTTAACATTTAAATACAGCGATTCGGAATGCAATCGGAGTGCAAGACAGCGCGAGCTGGAAGGATCAAGAAATAATATTAGCTTCACTCACTTCAAGGACTCCATTCACACTGGGGATGCACATCGAGAAGAATATTAAATAGATCCCTCTCGGTATACATTAGGGATGCATACTCACCCCCTGTGCGTGCTCAGTTGTTGGCGGGTCGCGTAGGCAGCGGCGGTGCATTGCCGCTTCTATTTGGTATAGGTGGCGGACCGCGACGATTGGGCAGAGGCGGCGGCGGCCCCATTGGCGGCGGTCCAGCCGGGGGTGGATGCCTTGGCACCGGCACATCCTCCTGGATCTCCTCGTAAATATTGCTGGCGGTCTCATACGCGGTGTCGATCGAAGCCGGTGGCATTTGCTCCTTGGGCGACGGCGCCTGACGCGTGGGCGTGGAAACTGGCGTTGCCTGCTTACTCTGCATTTGACGTGGCGGTGTCGGTGGTCCAGAGAGGATGGCCACCGGTGCTGCTGGAGCCGTGGGCGAGGCCTTGCCCGAGGAGGATGTCGAAGAACTGGCGGAGGCCAGTTCCGTGGGCGATTGCGATTTGGAGGATGGGGTGTTGTTTTCCATTGCCGGCGGTCGTGGCGGTGCCTGCTGCGCCTGCAAAGGTACCGGCATTAGGGGTTGAGTTAATGGCTGAGCTGGCATCGGCGGCATCGGTGGCTTGGCCGGTTTGGGCACAATGCTAATGACCCCGGCATGGGGCAGGTGGCGTGGCGAGTTCTTTGGCGACATGGGCATGGGCGGCCGGGCCGGAGGACGCGTAGGCGGTTGCTTCGGCCGCTGCGGCAACTCGGGCGTAAGGGCTTGCAGGAGCTGTGCCTGCTCTGAGGGATTGGCGCACAGCGGAATGGTGTTGGTGGTGCACAGCTCGATTTCGCTGTCCACCAGATGCTGCCAGTCGCTGGATTTTAGCTCCAGCACCAGCTCCAGTCCGCATACTTGGGTGCTCCGCTTGGCGGCTGCATTCAGGGCAGACTCTCCGTCCCGGAAGGTCACCCACATGGTGTCCTCCACGTAGCGGACCAGGGTGACCTCGCCCATCTTGGACAACTCGGCAATCAGGGCCGACATCACGTTCTCGTCGTAGATGGTAGGTCCATCCTCCTCGCCCTGTCCAGACCCAGAATCCAGCACATGGACCACAATCGTAGAGTCTGGCGGTCCCAGGTCCCGGATCACCTGCTCGAAGACAGCACGCCGGCGCTGCTGATCGATCTCCATGATCTCTGCATCGATGATGGCTATCACGGGACGATGGTCGCTCTGCTTCAGCTCCGAACGGCCATAGTGGATGAGCTGGCCGGGATTCCAAGTAGAGGGTGCGAAATCTCCTTCGGCGAGGGCCTTACGGCGGCGCCAAAGCACTCGATCCGTCCAAGCGGGAGCACGCTGCTTCTCCGAGGTGTCATAGTCGTCGCTAAACAGATCGTACTTGTATGTGGGATCGAAGCCGATCTCGCCCTCGAGGAACTCTCCGAAGACATTGCCCGCCTCCTGCTCCTTCCGCAGCTGATCGAACTCGAGGACGGTGGCAAGATCACCGTTGCGGACGCACTCCTTCAGCTCGTCCTTTTCCATATCGATGCGATAGTTAAAGTCGCCGCACCAGAAGACCCAGTCGTGCGACTTGAGTGTCCTGCCCATAGGAAAGGCCAGCTTCCGAGTTATCTCCGCGTAGTCGGCGTTCCTTTCCGCCACTTGAGATTGTCCGGCCGCAAAGTGGGCGCACACAAAACACATGGAGGTGCCGTGTAGGACGAAACGAATGGCACAGGCGCCCTTATTGCCGGTAGCACCGCCCAGGCCTGTCTTCACACAATCAATGGCCACGTCCCGGATGTGCGGTGCATGCTCCGGGCGAATATAGATGTAAAGACACACTCCCACTAGCTGCTGATAGGTGAGCAGCACATAGTCATTGTCCCGCGATATCGTCTTCTGCAGCTCCTCAGCCCACAGCTTGGAGTTTTCCGTACTTGCCGCCATGATATTGGAGGCATTGAGGTCCACTATCTCCTCGAAACCAATGGCATAAATGTCCACCGGATGATCGGCGTGCTCCGACGGATTGTTGACATCAACCAGGGCCTTGGATCTGGCCATAGCGTGGCAGTCGAGAAGCCAGTCGGCCAGAGAGTCCTTGAAGACGATGCTGCGGAAGTGTTTGCCGCCGTTTACATTGTAAGTACCCACGGCCACGCGGGCCAGCCGGGGACGCACGTACTCGGTGTAGCGCTTGCAGAGCTCCCTTAGAACGGTAGTGGGAGCATGCAGCATATTCGAGGGCAGCAGAATACGAGCCCGGTCGGCCAGCTCCGAGCTTAGCGTGGAGCCCACTAGCAGCACATCGATGGCTTCCTGAAAGGTGGATACAGTAGGGGTTATTATGCTCCGTAGATAATGAAGACTCACCTGTTTCGAGTTATCCAGCAAATTGTTCTGTATGGTCCTGGCCGCTGATCGTGCTCCGTCCATCAGCTTAGAGCCTCCCTGGATGGCACCAGTGCCGGCGTAGATCTTGCTCACCTCGTTGCCATTGTTTATCCACATCTGGCGAAAAATCTCCTCGAATCGCGAGATATTCTGCTGCTTGCCACCCAGCTTCAGGGCCTCCAGTTGCACATTCAGCGTGTCCAGACCGAGGTAGGTCTGCACGCAGTTTGTCCTGTCCAGGCAATCCAGACAATTGGTTCGCACAACGCCAAACTGCTCGCGCAGCACCTGTCCATCGCTGCCAGCATGGAAGACACCATAATTGGCCCCACAAGCGACGATCCGTTCCTTGAGCTTAGCCAAAGCCGAGAAGTTTCCGCCCCGGCACTCCTGATGATAGTCAAAGACCACATGCGGCACATCCTTATGCGCGGACATGCCGTGATGTCGTTGGAACTCGTTGCTCAGCATGGCCTCGCCCTCTTTGCTGCCGATGAGGGAACTGCCCAAGAGATTGACCACAGTCTGGTAGCCGTAACGCTGGCGCATCATGCTCATGTGGCGATCGAAGGCCGCGGCCGATGTCTCGAAGCCACGCGACAGCTTCACCTTGTGCGATCCGACTTGAACGCCGGGCTGTTCCCAGAAGAGTGGCACTGAACCGCGTGTCTGCACATAGCTGGTCACCTCGCCGTCCACGTAGATCACCTGCTCCGTCTCAACGAAGTTGGCCACATAGCCCTCGTCATTGGTGCCACGCACATTGAACCGGGTGCCCGCTCGCTCGCAGCTCAGCCGCGAGATGATGGCCGCCCGGGCCTGCTTGGCTCCGATGTAGACAGTGCGTACCTCCACGGAGCCGCACATGGCTTGCAGCAGCCATGACTGGCAATCAATGCCAAAGCGCATCAGGTGGATGTGCATCATGCGGTTCCAGAAGAACCTATTGTCCGTCTCCTCCGTCTGCTGGCGTCGTTGGGCGCAAAGCGTGATATCGAAGCGATGCGGGGTGGAACCGCCAGATGCCGAGGCGCTAGCATTCGTGTGGGCAAAGTAAAAGGTCCCAGAGTTGAGGAGCTTGCGCACCTCACTGATCTTGTCCTCGTTGGGCGCCGCATTTTGCAGCGAAACGAAAGTGGTCTGCGTGATCCGGAATATTTCCACATCACCGATCTTGCCCATGGACACGCATCCAGTGACGAGGACCAGAAATAGGACGGTGCTCTCGCCGGCGTTGAGCTGAAGGGCACCCAAGCAGCCATAGGCATCGCAAACCTTTGTGTACTGCTTCCGGATCACGTCCGTCTCCTGTTGGGTGAGCAGGGCCACCGCATGCGACTCAAACAGGATGCTGTCACTCTTATGTCGATGCTCCAGGAGGACGCTGTGCGGCGAAGGCGCTATGGACTTCTCCAGAACCCGAATCACCTTGGACATGGCCATCTTCTTGAACGATCTGTAGAAAGATTGTGTTGTCCTGGGGGTATAAGGTCTGATCCTTTGATGTCTGCAATTCAAAAGCTTCTAGCGACCAGTTCCATTCAAGGGCACGCGGCTAAGACATCTGTGGAAACGTGGAACGTTAATTGTGGGTGTATTACATGGGTATTAAAGTGGGTGTATTGGTTTTATACTTGTTTAATGTGTGTATGAGATATCTGGACTTCATAATATCCTAGATAAAGACCCTAAACTTTTTATAAATTGTACACGTTCAAAAAGTGTTTAAGTTTAAATTTTCTACTTCCACTTTTTGAAATGTTTATAAGGGAATAAAAAATATATTTTATTTACAATAAATTCTTTGTTATTTCAGGATTACACAATCTTTCCCTTGCCAGAAGCTTAAAACGCAGTGAAGGAGAGTCGATCCAGCTACGATATAGTAAATTTGTTGTTTATCCAACATCTAACTACCCACAAATTAAGTTAAGGTATCCTGCTTTTAACTTTTTTAAGCAAACACCTGATAGTAGCCGCGAACAGCGCCTAGATTTAAACCTAGTTTATTTAGATTTAACTCCGATTCTGGTTAGGATTTAACTAATAAAAAGCTGTGAATAAAAATGATGCTTGTGTTCATTAGTTTTAACAAGCTTAGCTTTCACATAATTATTCGCCAGAACAGTTAGCTATCATTAAATCGTGCGATTTCACTTTAATTACTGAATAATAGCGGCGAAAATCTTTGGAAACGGGAAATAACCAGCTGCAAACACTTTTAACACTAAGTAAGCACTAAAATATCGGGTGGCCTGTTAAAAATCAATACACACAACTGTTAAACATAAACAAACCGAAAAAAGGCGAAAGAATTTTTCCAATATTTCCGCCTCCCACTCAAGTTCACGCACAACACACACACGCACACCAAACATGCACCGGCGACAGCTGTGTCCTCTCTCTCGCTCTCACAGGTTCTCGCGAAGGCGCTGCTGCAAGTGTGTGCGTGTGACGACTGATAAACACTTTCTGCGCATTCTATGGATTTTTCACGATGCAACAAAGTTGTTGGAAAATTGTTTTCATTTTCCCAGCACCTTGCGAACACTAGTAACACGTATCAACACAGTTTGCAATGTCAAGTTTAGTTGTTTGTGTAAAATAATGAATTGAACGGTTAATAATAACCAAATACCTTTGTTTGAGATTTTATTGCGAATTTTGAGCTTTCGAGTAGTGTGGTCGTATTTGAATAACCGAAAAAAGCAAGAATTCTTTGGTTAGCGATAGCTATAACTACAGTTATCGATTCACTGTGATCGTCAATCGACCGTTGAATTCGAAATTTACTTAAAGATAACATAAAACATTAGGACTGTTTGTTCGTGAAGTGTTATTACTTACTTTCGAAGATTAGGTGATACACTTGAATATAGCGTAGTTCTAGGTATAGCTTATCACCAAGCAGCCCAGCAATCTTAAAATAGTTTTCATTATCTAACATAAATGAAAATATATCCGCCACTATATATATCTTCAGCACACTTTTCGTATAGATAAGAGGGAAACGGCCATGCCGTGTCCACCTCTTCCTATTCTGTTCGGATTTCTCTGCCGCACCCTTTCCCGGCAGAGGTCATGCTGACGCTCACGTGCCCGTTCCAAACATGATTAGATATCTTCCTCGGCACTGGCCCTCCGCGTAATCATAATTGAGAAAACCCAGGAATTGTAAATCACAAAGCCAACCAGCCAAGCGGGTGATTCATTCGATGTCACCTTATCATTAGCCCCGAGAACCTATATAAATTTGAATTACACACGAAAGTAAACAAACAACCGATTATGTTGGTCATCATATTGTATTTAATATTTAATATTTTCTTTTTGTTTTTGTTGACTAGCTTTAGCCTTAATTAATTAATTAATAGTTACGCTCTAGCTCTAAGGTCCGAATTAGCTTGGCAAAAACGACGACAAAGAATTTTATCTAATCTCTTAACTGAGGAAAATTCGAATGGAATGCCGTGCCTTGGGCCATTGATAAGTATTGATTAATTTACATAATTCCAGAGCCAGCACTCCTTGTTCTCCCGAACGTACGTCATTCCATTCCACATTTAATTGCACACATTTTCACCCATTTTTGGAGTCAAAGCTGCAGTCCGTGTTTATAGTTTCCCCTAATTGTTTTTACTTAAGGCGTAAGCTGCTGTTGCCACTGCTGGCCTTGGTCCAAAAGCCACGATCGTCTTTCTCCTTTCCTGCTTCGCCTGATATGCCAACTCCCCATCCTCCGTCTGTCTGCGAGTCATTTAATTCATAAATATGTTTGTGTCGCCGCCCTGTTGTTATGGCTTAAGTCCATTAAGATAAGGTTCTGCTCTCTCACACAAAATCGAAAGAATTTTCCGTCGAGAACAATCCGCTTCGATCATGTGATCGTGGAAAGCTCTATTTCAACATTGGCGCCGGATCTAATGCTCTCCTCCCGGCTGACCCATCACCTCTCGCCTCACTTGGTCATAGACCAGAGATGGGATCACTTATAATTACAGGCAAGCGAGTCAAAAGTGCGACGAAATTAATTACGCTAAAAACTGAGGGCAAAAGCGATGAGTCATCCAATATTTCCCAGCTATTTGGTCAAATCCCGCGCTCTTATGACTCACTGATAACGATGAACCTTGCGGAGCGAACTTTACAATCAATCAGAACCTAATGGCTTTCCTTTCATTCGTTTCGATTCGATTTATTCAATGGCATTCTTCCATTTTCGGAGCTTATGTACAGAAGCTGAGGCAAAAACAAAGAGCGGAAGAACCACAAAACACAAACAACTCAACTGAACTTATAACGTAATCATAAATGTAGGAGGCTTAACCGATAACAATATTCAACTAAGGTGCTGGGACGAAAAATAAATTAAGTAATTACAATTCAAAAAGCGGGGAACGATCATAAGGCTAACTATAACGTCTGTGCAGGGGCTGCTGCCCCCACACACACGATATATACGTAATAATTATATACACAAAGCATCGTTAACCAGTTTACGCGAAGCCAACAAACTGTACCTGGTCCGGATTGAGCCTAAGCCCTACATCTCAACGCAATCTCGATCGATCTTCGATCGGGTTGTCTAATCTAATCTAGGTCCATCGTCCTCGCCATCCTCTTTTTACAGCTCTAAGTCTAGTCTTACGTAGTGACTAAGGTTCAGCTAATAATACTACTAATACCAGACGCTGAGAGTACAAAATAACAAACTTAACTAGTTGCTGCTACGACGCCAGCAGCCGCTGCTTGGCGCCCGTGCAGATCAGCATCTCCCCCGTCGAGCCTGATGATCCTGCAACCGTCGTCGACGCTTCCGCCGCCACAGCTAACGTGGGCGCTGGCTGCTGTGGCGCCAGCGGGGCGTTGGCCGCATCGGACGCGGGGCTGTTCAGCTCGTAGGCGACTCCGCCCCAGTGCAACTTGTAGGTGCGGGTGCGCCAGCGAATCGAGGGATTCCACAGGGCGTGCAGGAACAGATAGGGTCCCGTAAGCTCGCGGAACAGCCAGCCGATGACGAACTCGAACTTGTGGAACGGCATCGAGCCGTGCTGGACAATGGAGAGCAGGAGCCAGTCTGAGAGGAACCAGCAGAGCACGTGCACCAGATAGAACACCAGCGGGTCCCAGCTGAAGAGCACGGAGGCCGACCAGGCGGCCAAAGCGCCCAGAATCATGCACTCGGAGAGCGGCTCCAGCAGTATGGTTGTCGGCACCATGGCCACGCGCAGCTTAGCCCAGCGGATAAGACGCGCCTGGAAGCTGCCAATGTCGCACAGCCCGCTATTCTGCAGCGCGGGTTGGCTGGAGATGCGCATCTTCCAGCCTAGTCGTGTTATGTCGCGGGCAATGAAAAAATCCTCCGCCAGGTAGCAGCCAAAGGCTCTGAGACCTCCCAGCTGATCGATGACCGCCTTGCGCAGCAGACATGACATGCCCGTGTGGCAGTTGATGCCCAGGACGTCCGCCGACAGGTAGATCCTGCTCTGGACCGTCCCAAAGAACACCTTTTCAAAGGTGGCCGCAAAGCCATCGCGGTCGCTGGTAAAGGGCATCTGATGGACTAAGGCATGCTTCTCAGACATGTTCTGGACCATATCCAGCAGAGTGTCATCCTTCATCTTGATGCCGCTGTCTGAGATCATCACGAAATCGTACTTAGCGGCCATGTAGCCAGGATGGATGTTGTTGATCTTTGGGTTGACGCCCACATCCGAGCCGCCAACAAAGAGCTTGGCGTCCACTTTGGGATACTTGGCCAGGAGTCGTTCCACCAGCTGAATGGCCGGGTCCTCCTTGTCTTCAACGCAGAAAAGCAGTTCGTACAGAGGATAGTCCATCGTGAAGAAGGTCTCCAAGTTGTGCTGCAGGTTCGGATCCACGCCCATCAGAGGCTTCAGAATAGAAACACCGGGCAGCGGCTGAGCCTCCGTGGGCAGCTTGCAGGACTTCTTGTGCAGCTTGTAGCGGCCGTAGCAGATGGCTATCACATGCACCATCCAGGTGCCGAACCAGAAAATCATGAAGAACGCCGCGAAGCCGTACAGCGGCAGTGGTAGGTGCGACATCGCGATGTGTGTGTCCCGTCCCTCGCAGTTGTGTGTGCGGAGTGTGTGTGGTGTGCGAGTGGGGGCTCCCTCGCGAATGTGTGTGTGCGGGGTGTGTAGTGGGTCCGATCCCAGTCAGTGTGTGTGAGTCGCTGGGTGGGTGGGTGCTCCTATTCAGCCAGCAGGCATTGGCTGCGGTTGCCGCGTTGCGGTTTACCCTAGGCTCGGATCACCTCTATATATTAAATATATAACCGTTGTTCGGGGCGATTAGTTGTCGTCCGTTCCGCGCGTTTTCAACATTTTGCAGATCTCGCGTCGCGTTCAATGCCCAAAAAAAAACTGCTGCCATAAAGGTGCAGTGTTGAGCGGTGTCGTGAATCAGATGCGGAAGTCGAAAAGGGACTAAAAAACGACAACGGGGGTTGATGGCATTTTGCAGCACTGTGCATGAGTTTACACGGCGGCAGTTGAAGGGCCGACGAATACGGTTTTATCTAGTGATTTTTTATTATAAATTGTGTATTAACTTATGTTTAATTATATAAAGTAAAGATATGAATTATTTGTGGGGTTTTTAACTGTATGATTTATTAAAATCATAATAATTCATGATCATTGACAATTAAATTTCATAACAGAGCCTCTGCATAAACGCAGTGTGACCCACGTTAGCCAACACTAGTCGAATTGTGCCCCTCATTGGGGAAGCTTTTAAAATATAATATAAATTTAATAACTAATAATATATATAACATACAAAAATGACACCAATGGAATCCTCGTCGAAGGACAACGACTCAAAAACTGAGGGAAGCACAAAGAATGAAGCGACAGCCAAGGAATCGAAGCTTCCGAGAGGCATCCAGACTGCGTTCGACGCCAAGTACAACATTGTGGACCTGCAGACGCCGCTGAACGCCTTCATGTCCGGCCAATACAAGCGGAGCTTCGCCTACCACAGCCTCAGGAACAGGCTGCCTGTGGTGCTGACCAACGTTATAGACACAATGACCCGGGAGAAGGCCGAGTTGGTAGCTTTGTATTGTAAGGATTCTGATTAGGATAAAAAATCCATTAGACACTAATTTTATTCTTTCCCAGCTACCAACGACTTTGAACAGGCGGCGCGGGACGAACTGAAGACCATTATAGGACTGATTTCGCAGCTGAAGTACGAACTGCAAACGGACAAGGCATTTCACGACTTCAAGGGAGCAGGTGGGTCTTGGCGCTGTTTCAAGGCTCCAACTTTATCGCAATACTCATCCCTACCTTAGAACCCGATCAGAATGACTGGAACAGCTTCCTCGGCGACCTGCCCAGTGCCGAGCGCACCTTCTACCGCGGCTGTTCCCTCAACGCCGAGTGCTATTTGTACCGCAAGCTCTACTCCTTCGTGGAGAACAGCATCTTCCTCAAGGGATACGACTACTTTGCCAAAATTAAGGAGCAGGCGCTGATTGACAACATGGACGACGTGTTGGCCCTGACCAAGTACACTCGTCGTCCCGAACACAGTCCCAAAATGTTCGATGAGCTGCTGAAGATCAACTTGTGGAGCAATTGCAACGATGCAGCCAATGACCCGGAGGCAGTAGCCCATATGCTGAACCTCAAGGTGCTTAAGAACGTGGAGGCCACCAATGAGTACGTGCTCGTCGACCAGTCGGAAGAGATTTGGCGCTGCCTGGATACCGCGAATTCGAAAAAGCCGCAGCAGGTGGACTTCATTCTGGACAATGCGGGCTATGAGCTGTTCAGCGATTTCATCTTGGCGGAATACATGCTTGAGCAGGGACTGGCCACCAAAGTACGCTTCCACGTCAAGGCCCATCCCTGGTTTGTGACTGACGTGACAGAGAGGGACTTCAAGTGGACCCTGCAGTACTTGAGCCAGCACGTGGACTACATCATCAGTTTGCTGGGCAAGAAGTTCATGCAGTTCCTCGACGAGGGCAAGTTTGAATTGGCGCCCACCTCAAATTTCTGGACTTCGCCACATGCTTTTCACAGGTGCGATCGGTGGATAAAGCTAAATATCCCCTACCTTATTCACTTTCGCCTAACTATTTTTTCAGCATGACTCAAACGGATCCAGACCTGTACAGATCTCTGCAGCAGTCGAAACTGGTTATCTTTAAGGGAGAGCTCAACTACCGGAAACTGTTGCAAGATGTTTGCTGGGCTAGCACTATGGAGCTGAGTACCTGCCTCCGTGGCTTCCTGCCAAGCAATATCTGTGTGGTGCGACGGGTCAAAAGCGAGATTATTTCGGGACTGGGAGACGGTGCTGCACAGGCACTAACCAGAAAGGATCCCCACTGGATGGTCTCTGGTAGTTATGGACTAATCCAGTTCGTCGACGGATCGCGTGAATTTGGATATTAAAAGAATCTCTTGAATGCACCAAAAATAAATCCCAATTAAATTAAGAATCGAAGCGCTTCCTTATTTTAGAAAATTCGGGCTTTGTGCTCTTTGCTCATATAATAAAAAATATATGAATACACAATACAAAAAATTTTAGGATCAGAAAACTTCCGACACTGGTTTTGAAAATGAAAATAAATACAAATATAAAACAAAATTAAAATTTAGAAATCTGGTCTGCGCACTCTGCTTGACAAAATAAGAATGATTTAAAATTTATAAGCTTGATAGGAAACATTTTTTTTTGGCGAATGAACAGTGTTACCTTATTAAAAAAAAATGGCTTAACTTTTTAAAAATTCCCCTTTCTCCTAAAAAAAAATACTGTTATTCCGAACAAGCAACTTTTCATAAAGTGCTGCCTTACCAAATTATACATAACTGGCAGCACTGCTTTGTCATCGTTATCGGAAACCGCAACGCAACAGTAACGAAGAAATTCAATAAACAAACCCGAATTGGAGGCTTAAAATAATAATAGTAATTAATTATCTGTGAGATGTCTGGCGATCAGGATTTCGATGCAAAGAATGGCATAGTGGATGGGCCGACGCCCCCACACACGGAACTGGCGGCCCAATATAAGCAGTGAGTTTTATTTTGGAGGTCGCTAAATATAGCGCCTAGTATATGTAACAACAACTAAGATCCGCACTATCTTCACTCACACAAGCGTATGCGAGAATTTAGTTTTGATTTATTAATGTTTATTGCAGGAGCTTTGCCTATTACACGTTCCGGGTGCGATTACCCTCGACCTTGGCCACCATTGCCGATTCCCTGATCAAGGACAAGGAAGAACTCCTGGCCACATATGGAGCAGTGAGTAATGGAAATACTAGACTCTTTATTTCTGACCTTGACAGGTTACCCCTTCTCCGATTTATTTGTAGGCAGCGGGCGCGGATATTGAACAAACTACAAAGGAAGTGAAGCAGTTGCGCGAGGATATTCTGAGCAATGCGTCCCTGCTGCCCTTTGCAGAGGGAAATGGTGCGCTTGAATCACTACAATTTTCTTAAGATACCTCTCTTTAAAGCTCAAACTTTTCCCCCTCAGATGCCCAGCTGTGGAACACGTTCCTTGACAAGCTGCCATCAGAGAAGAGAAATTACTTTGCCGCTTGCTGGCTCTATGCTGAGTGCTACATGTACCGCCGCATCTCGTCCATCTTCAAGGCCACCAGTCACCTGACCCAGCACGACTACTTCAGCCGGCAGAAGCAGACGGCCGCCCGGCTAAGTGTGGACGCCATGCTGGCAGTGGCCAGAGCCACGCGGCAGAACGAACGCAGCGCGGATACCTTCAGGCAGCTGGTCAAATTGAATCTGTGGGGCAATCGCTGCGATTTGTCAATCACGTCTGGCAAACAGGTGAAGCCCACTGGCAATGCCTTCGACCAAGTAACGGATCTGGAGGAGAAGCTCCTCATCGATGGCACAGCGGCGGTGTGGCAAGCTCTGGACGGCGGCTCTAGCGAGGGCATTGTAGACATTGTATTTGACAATGCGGGATACGAGCTGTACACAGATCTAATCCTGGCCGAGTATATTATAGACAAGGGGCTGGCGGCCAAAGTGCGTTTTTACCCGAAGGCCATACCTTGGTTCATTTCGGACGTAATGGAGCACGATTACCATTGGACGATCCAGTTTCTTGCCGACCAGCCGGATGCGGTGCTTAGCGAACTGGGAAAGAAGTGGCAGCGTCTCACCAAGGATGGCAGTTTTGAGCTCTCGCCCCTGGAACACTTCTGGACGAGTCCCTACGAGTATTATCGCATGGCGGAGGTGAACCCAGAGCTCTATAAACGCCTGGAGGAGGCCCAGCTGGTGATCTTCAAGGGCGACCTTAACTATCGGAAGTTGCTTGGCGATTTCTCCTGGGACAGCACAGAATCCTTTGAGACCTGTTTAAGAGGTGAGTGGGGAAAACATTTAGTTATATATGGTATGGTATATCTTTCGATCCTGTCCAGGTTTCCGTCCCTCGAATCTCTGCACTTTGCGCACTGTCAAAGCGGATTTAATCTGCGGCCTGGGAGCCGGTGTGGCGGAACAGCTCTTTGCCAAGGATAAGGAATGGATGTTAACCGGCGAATATGGAGTCATACAGTTTGCCAGCAAGTGAGATCACGAGCCATTTTGTTGAATTGTTGTAGTCTTAGTTAATGTAGGCCCAATTGTTGAACAATTAAAGCGGAAAAGGAATTTGAATTCGATTGCAATTTTAAAAATCGATAGATTCTGGAAGTCATATTTAAAAAGTCGATAATCCCCGCCAAATATAAAAGAGCACACATTATGTACGTCAGGCATTCATAAAAAATTTTAAAATCTACTCTTGAACTCAAAATTAAACTTTTAGGCAGTAGGAATGATTAGCGAGGCCGACAGCCGCACGGCCGATGATCTGGCGGCGGACATCGAAAAGAAGAAGGAAAATGAATTCAATGAGAAGAACCTTATTATCTATTCAGCGCCAGGGGTGCAGGAGGAGTTGTCTGCCCGCTTCTTGCACAGCATTGCCTACGTTACCCTTAGGCAACGTTCGCCGGGTCTCATCCGAGACATAATTGCTTTCCTGCGCGACCGTGAACCGGATATTGTCAAGCAATGCGGAGAGTACGCCCATTTCGATCTGAAGCGGACCGTGTGGAGTCTGGAGCTGTTGCGCGAGGATATGGTTGAGAACAAGGAGTTTGAAATATTTCGGGTCAAGGCCCCGGATACCGAGCGTTGGAATAAGTTCCTTAACGCCATCGGTGATGATAAGAAACAATGGTTTTCGTCGGTGTGGCTCCATGCCGACTGCTACATGTATCGGCGCATCTGGTCAATCTTCCAGCGATCGGATACCCTTGTCGGCTACGATTACTTCGGGGAGCAGAAGATGCTGGCCACCAAAAAGGCGGTGAAGCTAATGAAGTCCATCCTAGGATCCACCAAGGACCTGAAGCGCAGCAAAGAAAACTTTCAGCGCCTGCTGAAGCTGTCGCTGTGGGGCACCCGCAATGCCTATGTGTCGACCGCCCGCCTCAACGACATGCTGGCGGAGTACGAAGCCGATCTGCTTGTCGATCAATCGGCGGCGGTGTGGCGGGATCTTAGACGGGCCTATGATCCCGTCTACGTGGATATTGTGACCGACAATGCTGGCTTCGAGCTTTTCACGGATCTCGTTCTGGGCGACTACATCATCCGATCCCGGCTGGCGCAACGGGTGCGCTTCCACTTGAAGGCCATTCCCTGGTTTATTATGGACGCCACCCACGAGGATTTTCACTGGCTGCTTGACTTTCTTCGCGAACAAAATCATCCTGAGCTCCAAAACTTTGTCAATGATGTCCAGCAGCACTTGTTGGATCGCTCCTTTATACTGTGCGAGAAGAGCTATTTCTGGACCAGTGGCTACGACTTCAGCCACATGAAGGAGGTGCAGCCCTGCCTGTATGTCTACCTCAGCGAGGCCTCGCTGGTGATCTTCAAGGGGGATCTCAATTACCGCAAGCTGCTCGGCGACATCAACTACAGCTCCACCGATAGCTTCTCCGACTGCCTGCGCGGCTTCCAGCCGACCAGCGTCTGTGCCCTGCGTACCATCAAAACGGACCTCTACTGCGGCCTGGCCGTCTGCCAGCTGGAGTGGCTGAACGAGGATGAACCCGACTGGATGGAGAAGGGCGAGAAGGGGGTTATCCAGATAGCAGTCAAGCATCGCCTGTCGGGAGATATAATTGTGGAGATTTGAGATACTCTAAGTCCTAATTAAATGCAGTTTTTTGTCCTGATTTTATTCCAAAGATTCGACTTTAACGGAGTCTCAAATTGAGAGTTAATACAACGGAAAGCAATCTTTCCAGCTCTGGTTTTTATGCAGTTATTTATGATTTTTATTAGATCCTAAATGGTAGGCGGTGTAAGTCATTAAAATAAGTATTGCATTCCGTATTTTAGAGACTACAATCTAGGCATTATCAAGTAAGTATGAATGGTAGAAAAATATGTATGCTCTAAGGCCATATAGCTATAGCTATTTCTATATATATATATATATTTATATGATCGCTGATCGATGCTTCGAATTGTTCAAGTCTTATCAATTGCCGTTATAATATGGGGAGGAAAAAAAACGAAAAAAAATTCAAATTTCATGCAATATTCTGTAGTGCGCGTCGTCTTCGTACCAATATCAATATAATTAAATAAAGATCCCAATAACTTAATGTTTAATCTTGTTTCTTGGAGGGATGGCATTCCTGCCTCACATGAGGCAGTTGGGATTGAGCTGCTGATATGGCGTTAGATCTTTGGTGATCGAAAAGAGTGCTCCGTCGCGCACCATCTTGCACATGAGAGCGCCCAGATTCTTGGCATCATCGATGCCCGAGTGGGCCCTGCCCTCGAAGGCCAGGCCCACGTGGGAGAGGGCATCGCTAAAGTTGCACGGACGGTACTTGTACCACGACCGATAAATGGCTCGCACATCGATCCACTGATTGAAGTAGGCCGCCTTCCGCATCCGCTTTCGTGTGCACTCCTTGGCCAGACAGATGCCAAAGTCCCAGTCCGTCCAGGTGACGAAGGCACAGTTGCCCAATATGTTTGATTTGCTCATTTTCGGCAAGCTTAGCTGGCGCGACCGCAGCTCCTTGCGCAGCCACTCGTGGAACATCATCAGTGCCGTCTGCAGCGGGACTCCAGTGTCCACGGTCTTCTGCTGAATGCCCGTCAGCTCGGTGCAGTAGCTGCTAAGGCGAGGCGACTCAATGGGCATGATATACTTGTGGAACTCGGCCTCGATTTTGCCAGTCTTAAGGTTGACCAGCACAGCTGGGAATTCTGTGTAGGGAGGAGAGAATTAATTCAAGCTCCGAAATCTCTGAAAATGGAGGAAAATAAATCCTTACCAATAATCTCCGCCTCTCGCCATTGCGGTGGCGCCTGCTTCTCCCAGCAGGTGGCCTCAAAATCCACGGCGATCACATAGGTATAGGGCTGCATGGCCAGTTGCTTGGATTTCCTCGACTTTTTGCCCTTGGCGGGCACCGTGCTGGCGGCGGCTGTGATTTCTGATTCGTTTAGCGAATCCTCGGGATCGTTGGTCGGATCTGGGCGGGCTCCGTCCACATATATCGTGTCTATTAGGCCCAATTGCCTGTAATGGAAGAATATATAAGGATTTGACTTCTTGTTTTTTTTGTAGTAATATTTTTTGAATTAGTAATTTTCTAGAAAAAGTATACTCTATATGTTCAGAGGCCTTTGGCAGCTGAACTGAGACAATGACCGGATTGTAAAGTTGACAAAAGCAGTTACTACTAGACGATAAAAGTGTGTACGGGATCCTAACCTAATCAATGCTTGGTGTTCTTGTTGATCTTTAAATCCGACTTATTGCTGCTTGCCGTAGCAGACAATCATGGGTTTGAGGTGCCACACGAGGCCATTGGTTTCGCTCAGAGCCTGGGCTATCACCTCCGATGCGTTGGCCTCATTCAGGAAGGTCACAAATGCCTGGCCCTTCATGCGACCCTGCTGCATAACTTTAATGTCCAAGTTGGTGGCGGCAGTGAATCTCGAATAGAGTTCCCTTAGCTGCAGCTCATCCACGCTTTTGTCGAGGTTTTTGATGTAGAGCTTGTTGCTGGGTTCGCCCAGTTTGTAGTTCTTGTAGATGGGCAGGGCCTGGAGCTCGTTGGCGGTCAGTCGCTTCTCTAGGCAGGAGGAGAAGTGAGTCACAGGTATCTTCGGCTTGGTTGCAATGGGTGTTAGTGTCTCCGGCAGCTTGAGTTCTATTTTGGATGCCTTGAAGGTGGCTTTAGGGGTTTCTGTCTGTGAATTCGAGTGACTTCCACCTTGCTGGGCTGCCGCCTGATGCAGCATGTGGCGCGTTCTCTTGAGAACCTTCTCGGTGGCAACTGTAGGCAGTAATCGCTTCCGCTTGGCTTTCGCTTTCCCAGCCTCCTCCTGCTGATCATCATCGCTCTCCAGCTCGCTCTCGGGGTCACTGGGCACCACCTCCGTTTGAGTGGCCACATTCTGGTGATTCTTTATCAGCAAAACACTCGAGGAACGCTTCTGGAAAGGTGGCTCCAGGTTCATACGATTCATCAGGTGCAAGACCTGGTTGTAGAATCTTTTGTTAACCTGCAGCTGCTGGCCAATCCTGGCCAGGATCTCCGGATTAATGGGCGGGTAACTGTAGCCGAGATATGGCGGCGGTGGTTGCGTAAAGTCACAATGATTATTGCAGGCATATAGCCTTCGCACATACTTGTTGATTTCCGGCTCCTGATCCTTTTTTTCAGCGCCTCCGGCTGCTGCTGCTTCCTTGGCGGTTTGTGTGGCCTTGTTGGACTGACCAGCCGCCGGATTTGCACGCGGTCCAAAGGCACTGATGCTGAGGGGCTTGTCCAGCTGCTCACTCAATCCTTGCAGCTGCTCCAGCGCCTTTGCCGCCTCGTGTGCATCGCCGTACTCCAGGAGCGCTCTTTTGCGGCCGTAGGAGTTGAGGGTGCGCGGTACAATTAGCCGGCACTCCTGGATTAGCTGGGCCAGTTCCTCGAGGCTGCAAGGCATCTGCTTTAGGAGCAGTTTGCTACTTTGGACGGTCATTTCAAGCAGAAACTTTAAAAATTCCAAGCACTTTTCGTGGTTCAACTGAAAGAGTGACCTTATTACAGGGTTTCCGAAATCTCTTGTCAAGGGTGACTGGTCACACTGCTTTTTGTGGTAAACAGCTGATGTTGCTATAAATTAACATTGCCACCTTTTTCGTTGACTGTTAACAGCACAGACTTTGGCGGGAGTTTTAAATGTCAAGTGACTTCTGCTGTGGCCTGTTGTTTGGTCGATAAAAAACGAGTTGCATAAAAAATTCATGCCGCCTCTTACTTTCACTAATTGCACCGGTTATCTCAGATTTCAGATGGTAGTTAAGCGCTGTCTAAGGCGAAAAAGTAGGGGATTTAACATTTTTGTAAACAAAAATATTTAATAAAACTCAAACAAGAGTCTTAATATTTAAAAACCAATGAATACAGAAAATGATATCACCTGTCTAAACATTTCATAAGAACTAACTCGATACACCATATTTCTTGTTATAATTCTCCTATTTTTCGACTTTGCAATTAAAGGCTTTAAATTGTTTCATCAAAAGCTATATACATTCACTTTTGGGGACCAAGTCGTCAGAGACAAATGCTCGAATCGCGTGCCATCTTTGGGATAGTCATCATATGACCGCACTAGCACCGTAAATGCACTTACTCGTAAATGCATTAAATTACAAACCCCCCTGGGGTTTTTCTTGTTGGTTTAGATCTCCTTTTCAGATGAGTGTAATTTTCCAATTTCCAGAGAGAAGCGACGGCGACGGCGATGGCGACCGAGCCGGAGTCAATGCACTTTTGGCGCACGCTTTTAATCAAATTGAATTACATACGAAAAATGCCCGACATGATCTGCTCTGCTTTTTGATATATGGCACACACAAAGTGGTTATAAAAAGATCAGCGGCGAGCCAGCCGCCCCCAGATTGCATAAAATTTGCAATGATTAAATGGACAAAACATGGGTCAACGGAGCATCCGAGGGGGGGAAATGTGCATTCAGACACTTTCGCTTTTCACTGGCTTTTCGGAACCGAGCCGAACCACATGCGGAAGTCGCCAAATTGGATGAATGAACTCTCCTCCTCTGCTCTGCTCTGCTCTTGGCAAAAATAAGGAAAACAACTTTTTGAATTCACTTTTACTTGCGCCAATTGAAACGAGTACGTCCAACCGCTGTCGGCTTTGCATTCTAAGTGACTTTAATGGGTTAAGCTATATTTAGAAAATTGCAACAAATTGCCAAGTGGAATGCCAGTGGAGCACATAGCAATTTGCACGCGGAAAGGAGGTTAACTGAAGGAAGGATCAATTGCAATAGGAAAATGGACTGGAAAATAGATAGAAACATTAAGGATGTGTTTTGGGGTTTCATTAGGCGATCTTTAGGCCATGTCTAGGAGGGTATTTAATGGATATATACGAATTTGAATGAATTTGGATATAATTAAATAATTGAAGTACATAGGAAAATGTTTCTAAAATTAGATAACATCTTGGAGATAAGTATAACCTATTTTCAATATATTTGATTCACCCTACTGAATCAGCAACAGGTTTTCCCATTGGTCATCACCTCCTCTGTATTTTCTACATTCCCTCCCAAAAATCATTCAGCAAGTGATGACAAGCCCCTTTTTACACATTCCCCATTAATTATCCCACGAAAAAGCATTGCAGTGAAGTGCGATTCGCATTGTTGCTGAACAATATAACTAAGCAATTACTAATCACTCTACACAGAGAGAGAGAGAGAGAGCCCACTTTCAATTAAATAAATAATACCTTTCAAGGCATGAATAGCATGAACAGTAAGTAGTTTTGAGCCAATTATTGGCAGCCTAATGAGTTTTGGTCAAATGAGAAGTGTGCTCGAGCACAAAACCGTCAATGAATAACAAACAAAATAAATGACTAGAAACTATAAATAGCTACAGAAGTATTTTGTGAATATAGAACTCTGATTCAATGGAAAAACAGGAGAGGAAACTAACTTCGGGAAGCCGAGGTTTATATACCCTTGCAGAGGATCGTATCGATCGAAATCGCTAATAAATATGAGTTATTCGCATTCTTTGAGTTGATATTTAACGATATTTTTATAAGACAATTTATTCTACAAAACAAAATTTTAAAATCGCACAACTAAATCAAAATCGTATTAATTTTAATTCGGAAAGCTTCCCTATGCTAGTTTTTATTAGATTAATAAAACTGTATACTTAATTTACAATTTAAAAAATTTGAACATTTTATCAATTTTTGACAATTTAAACCACTTATAAAATTTTGAAAAAATTGATAAAAATTTATTTTCTTTCCTACATGCCTAGAAATCTTCGCCTGTTGATGCTGATCAAGAATATATATGATTTATAAGGTCGGAATTATAATATCCTGTAAAGGTATAAAATAATAAAATGAGGTAAAAGAAGCAATTTATAAATATATCAACTTAGAATATTTTTATAAGGTATTTATATAACTTTAAAGTTTCGTAAAAATAAAATGCATAATTAGTTCGTTATTACTTTCCCAACTGAATAAAAATAAACAACTGATTTACATAAATAGTAGAAATTGCCGTATAATTACAGCATTTAAAGAGAATCACGTGGCACCTTCGGCATTTAAATTTAAAGAATCGTGTGCGACAATTGAGTTCCCCTTTAGCTTTGCTAATTGCCACTATACTATATTATACTATAGAGTGGTATTTATTTACAGATCATTATTATAGTCAAGGTCCTGGAGAGGAGACGACGACTTGGGGCTTGGCTTTGGCTTATTCCAATTGATAGAAATTAGCGAGAGCTACGAAACAGAACCTTTTGGGGAAGGGCGACGAAGGTAGCTGGATTGCAACGAAATTATATATATTTATTGCGCATACGCCCCGCGTGCCGGGGGGAGACTGGCGCGTGCATAAAAGTCGGGCCAAAAACGTATGACGACCTTCCCGCAGTCAGGCCCTATTTGGCCGGGTTACGTCTCTCCGCCGCCTCCTCCCCCTCTAGGAACTCCTTGCCGGCTTGCATTATTTTGAATGCAATATACAATGGCAGTATACCCTTGATTTTGTCCATTATATATCTACTATATAGTGGCGGTGCTTCCACTGCATCTGTGTCGGTATCGGGTTCGGTTCGGTTCGGTGTATCCGTGAGTTTCGTGTGCGCCATGCTCTTGACTTTGGATAAGTTTGGTGAAAACTGCTTTCAGCCGGATTTTCCGCACTCTGTAGCCAGAATTGGAATCAGAAAACGAGACGACGATGCCGATGTCGATTCCGATTGCCAGCCAATGTCGGGGAATCGAATTGCGCAAAAGATTTGATATAGCTTTGGAATCTCGAGAGCATACCCTAAGATCGGTCAAAGGTGGCTCTCAAATCGGGTTCAGTATTGGATATATCATAGATATATGTTATATGGGGTTTCTGGTCTTACAGAGTATGCCCTCTTCGTTGTGGCCTCTCAAGAAGCATTGCTTCTGTTTGATCTTCAATTGTGCGCAGCAAAAATTCAATTGTTGAGCAAAAATAATCTATAAACTTATAGACTCTTTATATAAATCGTAGCAATAATAATACATATACATATTTTGGTTTGCGGGTATTTAATGTGTGAGAAAGTTCTCACAGTTTGATTTACAGTCATTACAATGTTATGACGTGGAAATTAAAAATAATTTGTATACTTAAAAACGGAAATGATCAACTATTTTGGGGGCTGTAACTATCTAGATCATAAAGATAATGATGCCATTTCCTGTTGTATGAAATGCAAAGTAATGAAGAGTTCTGCTTTAAGGCAGTATTTGACACAAGTCAATAGGGAGATTTGTTCAATAAATTGTGCCGTAAAGACTTGGTAAAACATACATAAGATCCTCTAATTAGAGCTGTTACTGTAGTTTAAAAATATTTCACATTATTACAATGTTGATAGCTAGTGAGGGAAGAGGAGGCTGGGGGCTGATTTTTTTGTCGGCTTATTCGCACAAAACAGGTTTTTGTGTGGGAATAAAAATGAGCACAGCTCGGTGACAAGTTATAAAATTTTGCACACTTTTGCAGCTACTTATGAGGGGCCTACCTATCTATACCCCAAATATATGCAAGTATATATACTCACGAGTGAATGGCCAAGACCTCCCATTGATCGATCAGGTGCATTTCGCAGAGATATCCTTATCAGTCAGTGACACGAAATACGACTTATCTGGCGGGGATTGAGAAATCGAACTGACACCGTTCCGCCTATTTTACGATTTATGGTTAGAAAAATACAAAAGTAAAAAAGCACAAATCTCGGTTGGAAGCTTTTTCTCATTTGTTATTGTGGGGACAACAATGGGAAGGTTTCCATTTATAGAATACTACGCATTTCAATTAATAAAATAGTCATAATTAAATTAAAGAGTCGCCAGCACGAGTCGTATAACAATAAGGTCGAGATTCAGAGATTATTCATATACGTACATGGTATGTAAATATATAAACCCGAGGCATTTGCAGCAGCAGATGCAGCAGCAGCAGCACCATTGTTTATATAGTAACTCGAGACCATGTCGTCATATAGATTACAAGCTTTATCAATGCAGCCTCCCGTTTTACTTTTATTACTCTTTTTATTGTGTGCCCCACAAAAGTTTCCATTGCTCAGCGGCTCTCTATGGATGCATCTATATATATGCTATATATATATATGCTATATATGCTCTTTATGAGATGTGTGCAAATTGAACCAGCAGGTCAGATGAGGACATATTGGGGCCATTGGGCTGAGATGTACAGATGATATGCACTGTGGAATCTGCTGCTGATGCACTTCTACAGCTTCCAAAGGGGAAAACTGTCAGCCTAGAGAAGTCGTCTCCGGAGTGGAGAAGCCCCATGTTGGCTTCGGTTCCAATTACACTCAATTACAGCAGCCCGATCTCAATTTGAGCTGAAAGGCTGGGAGTTATTTTTGGAAACCAAATTGCAATTGGCAGGCGGTGAGTCACTTAATTGAAATCACAGGTATAGGTGCTATATACATGTGTACATATATGTATATTCCGCAATTAAAAATACAAATCAAAGCAATAGAAACCACTTTGAACCAGCTCCAAGCGCCATTAATCCATTCTGTAATCTAGAATAGACTACGTACTCTACTAAAGACTATATACTATATGGATTAGAGCCCCCAATTCGTATAACTGAACACGAGGGCAATCATTCAGTGGGCCATCAATCAACTGATCGCTAATTTAACGCCTTTGCATCGCCGTCTCGATTAATTTAATCATGTGTGTATATTTGTTTACTTTGCGAGGGTAAACATAAATAAATATAACCAAATCGGAGTAAGCGATGAATGAACAATTACAGCGCTGCAGGCGGACTTTGGTAATTTAATTCCCCGTACATGTACATTTTATACCCTTGTAGGGTATTATAATTTTAGTCTAAAGTTTGACCCTATAAATTATAAATATTCTTATTTAGCTTCAACAGCAGATTCACAGTTTTCTGAACTTCAAGTTAATGCTTTTCGATTTTAAATTTGATTCTCTAATCCAATATCAAACTTCAAGGGTATACAAAATTCGTCTTTCCAAAGTTAGCTTTCTTTGTTTATTATTGCAGTCGTTGTGAATGCTGGATAAAAACAACAAGGGAAATCGATATGACAAGTATACATTGTTTAATAGGATACATACATACTATATACTGCGGTAATCTTCATAACTGAATTAATTGAATAGAATTATCATGAGATTTGTTACCCCTAAGATTACCTTATTTATTAGAATGCATTTGAATTAGAATTTTAGATTTGTTAGCGAGCTATTTATAGAGTTCCTTATGGCTCAGAGTTAAGAGATTAATAAGTTATGTTATTTTCTTACTGGCTTGAATTATCATAAAGTATTACTGATGTGTAATATCATCTTACTATCATAAATACATGTTGCTTGATATTTTTATAAGCCTTTTTTATTTCTTAAGGAAGACTTTCTATTGGTTAGGTTTCCAGTACCCTTCGGGATTAATATATATATCCTTGTTTTAAGATCTTAACTCGTATTCATTTATATAAATAATTTCAGTTTCCTACTGTTAACAAGGCACTTCTAGTGATACTTGTCAGATAGGTGCCTTTCAGGGGCGTTAAAGTGCATTGACCAACCCAATATCAACAACTCGACAACTCTCTGTGGAAATAAATATTTGCGTAAAAGTTATTACACGGGGCGGCCTTAAGCGATTTTCTGTTGACCAAGACGCAACAAAAAAGGCCAGGGTCGGATTTTCTAGTACTCGGTCGGGCGAAAATGAAAAATAAGGTCAGCTGAGGTCAGCCAGGATGACCGACCTGGCCGAGAAAAATCAATTTTTTTGTTCAGTTTCATCACTAGCTTAGTTTCTGGGAAATAAAATGGAGCTACTAAAACCAACCTTTCCAGTTAAAACTCCGCCCCTGGTTGGACTCTTAATTGCAGCTTGTTAAGTGGTAAAGCAAAGAGTGAAAGAGTGTGGGACCTGACTTTTTTAGCGGGGCAATTTCACGAAAGCCGGTCTCCCACGAATTGGAATAATAAAATTGGTGTGTTCCCTTTTTAAATTTCAACTAAAATAAGTAAATTATTATTTTTTAATTCTTTAAATTGAAATCTTGTACATTTAAAATCGTTGGACTAATTTAGTTTTAGTAGAATTGTTCTGTTTAATTTTTTTTAATAATCATCAAAAATGGGTTGAAAACAGAAACTCAAGTTTGATTGAGATACCTTTGGATGGACTTTTTGATTTTTTAATTTACAGCGAATTTTCTTTGCAAGAACATTAATTTATGTTCAATAAATTATATGTGTCTCATAAAAATATTAAGTAAAGACCTTTTGTAATACAATCTTCTTACTTTTATATTTGTTTGAAATATATTTGAAATATTTTATTTTTACAGAATCAAGTTGAAATCAAGGACCGGAACACCTGACATTGGGTTTATCCCGAATATTTTGCATTTTTTCAAGTGGGAAAAACTCACCTTGCCAGTCTTATCAAGGCCATGTTTGTTGTGTGTGCCTGTTTTTTTTTTTTGGTAATAATTGACTTCTCCGAAAACCTTTAAGATTTTTGTACTTCAAGAAATTCGTCAGAGTCTATATATATATTTTTTTTAGGTTCTCCTTTCCCTTCCTCTTCCACCTTTCTATTTTGGCAGTGCAGAAAGTAACGGTAACTAGGCGAAAAAAGGGAGGAGGACGAACAGGAAGAAGAACAAGAGCGGCAGAAAATTCTTTTGTTGTCTGCTTGCCGACAGCCACCAACACACGCGCGCTCTCACACAGACACGGTAACACACAGACGCGGATGTAACACTCACACAACTACAGTTATTCAGCCGGCACAACAACAACACCAGCTTTGTGCTTTTTCGATATTTTATTTATTTATTAACTTTAAGATATCCACTCGTTTGTTTACATCTTTCCACACGCGGAGCAAAGGTAATTGCAGTTGCAGTTGCATTTGCTGAATGTGTCGTCGGGGCGGTCAGTGGGAGAATTGTGGCACTTTCTGGGGCATTACTCGCGGCCCGGCAGCTCTGTTTTCAGCGGTTTGGTTCGCGTTCTGCATGTAATATTCAATTGAAGCGGCGGCTAGCAAATGCAGTGCAGGCTCTGGGTCGGAAAACTGTGTTTGCTTGATCGAAGTGAGTTAACAGAGTTTTGCCGACCGCCCGTCAGCTGTTCTGTTCGGCGCTGCAAGCTAACAAAGCTCTGTCGAGCGGGTGTGGCAACGCTGCGATCAAATGGCGGTATCTGGCAACTTTAGTGTGCTTTTTAAATTTGAATTTTAATTGTGGAACCAAGATAAGTTTTTGAAACCCTAATGGTTTTAATACTAATTAATAATGTAATAAAAATTTTAATAAACTACCTTGATGCATTAACAAATAGCTAAGAGTTTACTTCTAAGCTTTATACAGTGCTTTTTATCTTACAAAATAGAAATCTGAAATAAAGTTTTTTTTTCTTTTTTAAAGAGGGATTTTCTAAAACTTGTTGATTATGGGTTTCTAATTAACCTTTTAAAATATTAAATAGCCCCAAAGCTAGAATATTTACTGGAATCTAGAATGACTTTCCGAAAAATGAATAAACAAGACATAAACATGAATACATTAACGCTACCGTATGCGAATTATATAGAACTGCTAGAGATTGAATATTCAGATTGACTTTACATACATTTATGTTTTAGAATTCGCCAAAAAAACTCGGTCAAAGTTTAGCAGTTCTTCGGTATATAAGAATGGGCACCTTAAATCGGGGAGTAAGTTGGAAAAATTCACACTTGGCTTGAAGATCCCCTGAGAAGAAACATGAACCTACTCCCTGGATTACTTTTAGTGTTTTGCCTGATAGCCTTTGTTAGTGGTATGTAAAACTAACGATATTTCTGAAGGAGATGGCATTATTAATCCTTTGGATTTATTACAATAGCTGAAGGTCATAAACAAAGAAGGCAGATCTTTAAAGTTTTTAAGCAACGACGAACAAAATTTGGGATGTCGAGGAGAGACTTTTGAAGAGGAAACTGTATTCTTCCATACACCCACGCCCTCTTTTTTAACAACACCAACAGAAACAGTTCCGTCAGGATCAGGAACCATAAGTGTGTTTTTAGTTAACAAAAAGATAAGTAACGAGCACGATCTGGAATACGACCAACTTGTGAATAGTTTTGACGAGGAGGATTTCGATGACATCAAAGAGCTGTACAGGCCTCGCAGGGGGAAAAACCGTCGTCAGCCTAGTCGTTACAATCACAGTCGTGAACAACATCGCCGTCACCATCATCGCCACTAGAAACCATAAGCTTATATCAATTAAATATAATTATGACAATCTATGCCATATTACAAACCTTTGATCAATAAGCCAACAAAAAAACCTCCATAGTCTATATACAATATGGATTATAACCTTAAAAATCTACACTCGACACAAGGTTAAGTTCGTTGACATTCCAAGAATTAATAAAATTAAATAAATTATTATAAACTTAAATATTTAATTTCTTTTGTGTATAAATTTACATATATTAACCCCATTTATGACAGAAACAGATGCCAGATTAGACATGCTAATTTGGAGAGCTGTTGTGCAAATGATAGACGAAAGAGTCGATCAGTTAACGATTCTGTGAGGTTGATATTATTATGAGATGGAGATGAGACGAATCCAACTATTTATGTTTCCTCCAACACTGAATCCTGGGGAATACAGGGGAATCAACAACTAAAATTCCGAATTACGAAGATAACCTGGGAATATCTTTCTGGATAGTTTGAACTTTGATCATGTAGACAAGGCCATCGAAAGTTTAAATATTTCTGAATTGAAGAAGAAACTCTAAAGAGGATACTTTCTGTTAAAAATAAGCTACAAAATCTAATGTATTAGTATTTAAACTCAATGCCAGACATTCAAATTGTTGACAAGAATCATATATACATTTTTCGTTCCGCCTCAAATAAAATTTCTTATACAACATGTGGGAGCAGCTGGAGAGATATCGCAATCATTTTTTACAACGTGAACTCAAGGATTCGCTAACGCCCAGCTTGATTAACAATCAGCAGAGAAAGGGTGAGTTTAGGGTTACATAAAACAGGATTTCAGCAATACTTAAATCCTTAGAGTGGACTGAGAACTTGGAGAAGCGAGATCAATGCAAATGCTTCCCCAATCGCGATTCGGCAGCCTCCACATACTTTGACGATCGGGCTCAGTTGGCCTATGGCTGGTTTGCTCTGCCCAAATTGATGAAGGAATTGAACAGCGATGTTCGCCTAACCCACTGGAAGGCCATTGTCTCCTTGACGGAATTTCTTTTGAATCCATTGAATGCACAGGATGCTATCACCCAACATGATATCGTTAGAAAGTAGGTTGGATTATGTAGGACATAGAGTTGTCTTTAGCCTAATATTGTTTCCTTGAAAAGGTTAAAAAATGCCTTTATGCGTTGGAGATTGAAGCATCACAAGGAAGAATATAGGGAGGGAGAGATGTACCTCAAGATTTATAGTGAGTATTGGGAATACAACTAATATTATTGCTAGTTTAATATTCTTCCACAAGATATTCTCTCACGTAATTTTAATGGTGCCGAGAATATTGCCAATCGCAAGTGTCTTCGGGTGGAGTTTTATAAGATTATTAAGGACAAAGAAGTCTTGAAGGATGAGTTGGCTTCGGAGATCCTGAGCAATTTGACGGGCAAACCAAAGGGTGAGCTAGGATACACCATCATTAAATGATATATATTTTACAATTCAAACCTCTTCCTCATTTTATTCCTTTAGTTCTGGGAATTATCTTAGAGGATCCAGAGAACTTTGCCGCTTTGGCGGACATCTTTAAACAGGATCCCTGTCGACCGCACTATCCCATACATTTGTGGCATCACCTGTGCCACCTTCTCGAAGTGGCACCCGAGCAGGGATTGGAATTGGGCTTCTTTGAGCTCCTCCACTTGAGGATCCTTAAACGATTGCCCGACTTCCGGGACATGGATAGCAAGGCGTTCGCTTTGCTCCTCCGCTGTGCTGAAGGCCAGAGGCGTTTCGATGCCGTCGATGGGGTGAAGCTCCTGCACGACATCTTTGCCACGATGGACGGAAAGCCAAGGAAATTGCTGCCTCTGCAGAACTGGGAGTATCTGGTTCTGGCCCTGGTCAATGGACTGCACAGCAAGAAGGCTTTGTGGCGGAGTCGGGAGTTCACTATGTTGCCCTGCTATGTGGGTCGCATCTTGCAGACGACAGAGACCAATCCCCGCCTGCAGTTGCACTGCCTGAAGGCACTCCGGGAGCTGGGCATGATGCCGTGCATCAAGCGTTATATTATTGCCAACTGGCTGGAGGATATCTGCAAGCTATTTTGCCTGGATGCGGAGGCGGAGTGTGCCAGGGATTCGTTGGTCGACTGGCTACGCCGCGATATTGCCGACAGTAGTAGTTAATTTCTTTCCTGTGTTTTGCTTTCATTTCAAGAGAGAACATAGAATTTCCCCGTCTCTAAACTGTTTAGATAAATTCAAGCTACCCCTGAGCACTAACTTTTGGTCCCAAAGAGAGTCCTTTTATGGAAAAGGGGATGCTTTTGGGACACACACACAGAAAAAGAGCGAGGAAGAGCTTTTCAGAGAGCAGCTACTGCCAGCTGTTTTGTCTTCTGCTTTAAAATAAAATAAATTGTGGTTAATATTTAACACCTTATAAAAGTCCATAGATTATATCTTAAATGGCTTGCAAAATAAATATCCTTTGCTTGCCTTGACCCTGCTGTATATCCTTTTTAACGGACAACTTTTTGCATATTTATGGACACTTGACTGCAGAGTGCCAACTGCCAAGAAGGCGACAACTTTTCCAATTTCCGATGCCTGGACACTGGCCATAATAATGAGTACTGACACTACTAGGGAGAGGATGCCAGGATGCGGCGATGCCAGGACATCCACCGCAGCAGCAGTAACAACAACAAACAGGAGGGGCTGGAAGTCAGGAAAAGTAACAACCACTGACCAGAGTAGCCGCAGTAACCGCAGTTTGTGGTTCCTTTACTGCTGTCCTTCTCCCCCCATCTATATATTTCCATATCTATTTAAGGTCCTTCCTCCTGCCTCCTTGCGTATACATTTATATATAATCCCATTTTTTCCATATTATTTTGCTGCGGTGACAAACTTGGCAACGAGTTGCATTTGCTTTTTTTAATTTATTTGGATTGGCGGCGGCGGCGGTGGCGACGACGAAAAGAGTTCCTTGTCCCAGGACAATGTGGATCCAGGACATTTCGCATTCAATCGGCAAGTTTTGTGCTCTGTCATCGAGGCGACAGCAAGATTCTTCCAAAGTCTCTGGTGGACTCTTTTGTGAACTTTTTAATTACCGCTGCGAGTTCGCCTTGTTTTCTTTGTGGTTTTTTCTTCACTTCACTTCTGTTTATTTTTTCCCCTATTTTTTCCCCATTTTTCAAGTTTGTTTATGAAATATTTTATGGAAATTATGCAAAACTTGTTTACCAGACTTCATATTCAGCCATCAGCGCTCGCCATTTGGCGCCTTTCAAACAAAGTTCCCCCCACTTTTTGCCACTCAAATTAATTGCATAACAAATTGTGTTGATGAAGTGCATGGAATGCCCAAGTACATATCTATAGTAATGGAAAATCCCAAGGGCTGGAGAGATTCTATAGAACAGAGCTCTTGAAAGAGAGATTTCCCTGGAAGTCAGGCCCTTGAGGTCAGTCATGGCTAAAGATACGAAATAATTTGGTAAATATTCTGGCAGCCCAACACTTGAGCAATGCCAGTGAAAGTCTTCTCCCTTACTTCTACTAACTATTGGCACTTAATCCCCAGACCAATTCTGTATAGAACCCATCAATGGATATTATCGACACATTACCCAAGTAACGATGGCAATTACAGGGACATAGCCTTGCTTCCAGACTTCAGTTCAGTTTCATCCATGGCCCTTTGGCGTTGGTCGCTCCTCTGGCAGAGCAATCGTTACCTGAGCTACCACGTGCTCCTCCTGCTGCGCTTCTACTTGGCCCAGTACCATTGCCTGGGCCTGATGCGTCTCCGGTATGTGGCGGGTAGGAACGAAGTGCGACTGACACCGTATAGTGTCACGGTAGCCAGGATGATCGGCCTGTGTTTTGCCTACTTCTTCACCCTGGCTTTGGGTAATCCTTATCGGTTGATGCTGCACATGCAGCTCCTGGGCTTTAGCTGCTCGATAGTGCTGCAGCCCCGGCGAGTCATCGAGGAGCGAACGCGGCTGGTGAATGAGTTCCTGCGACTGACGCCGCAGCTCTATCGTTGCTGCCGGCGGCAGTTGAAGATGTCCTGGCTGGCGATCTTCCAGTGGCTGCTCAAGTTTCTCACCTTCAGGATATTCTATATGGCTTTGCTGATACCCAAGGATACAAGTTTCATGATCTTCTTGATGCTACTCTTCGTGGTGCCCGTGTCCCTGGCCATTTGGGTGATGGACGTGACCTCGCATGTGGTCAGCATTGTACTCTTTCTGCTGCTCAAATCCTTTCAGGCGTTGGATGAGGAAATGGCAGCCGTGGACGAGAAGCTGCCTCTGGAGATTCTGCGCGGGAATTTTGGAGAAATTCGCAGGTTGCAACGTCATCTGGTTACCCTGCAGAGACTGCACCGATCGTATGTGAGGCTCACCCAGGAGGTGATCAGTTGCCTGGGTCCCCAGCTGGTCCTGATCCTTCTCTACAACCTGAGCACTATATACACCCTGTCCAGCGGCCGTTGGTGGCGTCTCATTCAGATCTCGGTTCTGGTTAACAGTGTGCGATCACTCTTGGTCTCCCTAGATGAACTTGTGGCTATGACACGAACCCGGCAGGACACCACGTGGTTCCATGTGGCCCAACTGCTGCAGTTCGACGAGATTCTGGCCAATCACGGTTGGCTGGAGCGTAAGACATGGAAGTGGAGATGGCGATGCCAAGATCCTGACTCCAAGATACCTATCCTTCAGCCGGGACTGCAAATGCTGGGCCTGGTTATACCCAATAGACGCCTCCTGTTCCGCATTGCCTTTGCCTTTTGCAGTGTCCTGCACTTGCATTATATGTGGAAGAGATCAGCATTGGTGGCCGAGAAGGAAGTCATTATTGATTCAGAACTCGTCCCAAGAGGTAGTTTTTAACTTGGGAAATTGTATCTTGCGAGCAAAATAAAGTGAAATTATTATTTGAATATTCTATTTTGAATTATATTGAACTGGCTAGGACTGAATCCTTAATATATGTTCCAGTTTAGATAACTATCTGACATATTAATCAGCTTACTCAATTAGTTATTAAAGACTCAAAACCTTCTCTAGAACAGATTAAAAACTTTCCAAACAATGCAGTTAATTTCAAACTGAGAGAAAATATTTACCCGCATGATTAATGAACGTAAAGCCCCATTGTTTATGGAAGTAAAGTTTTGCTCCTTGCCAAGAATCCTGATAAACTATGTAGTTTCGCTGCCAAAGTATACCCATTTCTCACATGCTTTGATTAACTTTCCCGGGGAAACTCTGGAGGTCGGCTTTAAGACATTTATCATCTATTTATTGCACTCCAAATAATATTTGTTCAATGTAACACGCACTTTACACGGGAGTCATTGGGACGGAGAAGGAGCAGTCTTGAAGGCGACTCCTGCGGGTAATTTTAAATAATTTATGCATTCGCCCCTGCTGTAACATGCACAAAAATAACAAGAGGAGGCGCTTCCTTATTTTCCGGCTCCTGAGTTCCCCCCTCCCCATTTGCTGCCCCTCCCCGCTCCGAGTGCCTGGCTGATATATGTAATTGCATGGCTGGCCGAGCACTTGAGGTGTTGGTGGAGTCCTTGGTCCTGTGCCTGCTGCTTCTGCTATCCTCTCACACATGCCCTTCCTTCCGGCAAGATGGGGCTGCGGATCCATAAATCATTTTTAAAACATTACCTCAACGAATGCGAATAAGTAGAAATATTTTATGTATACAATTTTGCACCTTCTCTAAAGCGGCACAAGATTTATAGGAAGCTTGGCCCCAAGGATTTTCGCCCAGGATTGTCACCCAGTTGGGTTGATTAAATTCAAGCAGCACTGAATCTGGTCTTGAGGAATTCTCTCTGGCCCAGTTTTACCATTCGAATTTATGGCCATTTTTCGCTCTAATCTTGTTTATTCCTTTTCCCTTTCCATTTTGGGCCAGAAAAACATTGAAAATCAATTAAACTTTTATGGTGCAAAGCAGAGAGATACAGAGACAGTAAAAATAAAGGAATTTTAAAGCAATTTTAAATCAATTTTAATTGAATGTAGTTGAGTAATAAAAATAAAATATTTTATCGAGGCTTTAAGAGCGTGCTTGAAAAACTTTTGACTTTGATTTGAGTTTCAGCAAAACTTGAACTTCTTATCCCGATATCTTTTCATCTTTGGGGAGCCCCTTCAAAGGACAATAGAGTGTGACAACTGCGGATGGGTGGAGAGCAGCAAGGCCCTTTCACACTTGTTGTTATTCCAAGAATTTTACACTCCGCCAAAAGGACAATAATTTGCAAAACATAATGTAAGTTATGCCGCTGCCAAGAACAAAATGAAGCCGCTGGCGTGGAAGGAAATATATATATGTATTTGTATAGGGGGTGGAATATATCTGGCGGTAAGCAGCTTTATGTATAAATCTCTTTAATTTATTAGATTTCATTAGACATTTCGGCGTTGAGTCTGGCCGCGGGTGGTGCTCCTGGGTTCGTGGATTTGGGTTTTCTTGGGGGGGGGGCTACCACGATTTTTATATTAACAAGCTTTAAAACATGACTTTTCCTGGTGCGCCCTCATAAAAAGTAATAATGTGGCCCGTAAAATCGTTAGCCAGCGGCCAAAAAAGGAGAAGGCCAAGATAAAAGGGACAAAGTAATGAAGGTGTAGCATACTTTTTGGGGCCCCATATTATTTTTATCAAATTAAATGCTATTTAGTTGTATAATTTAGTTAATATTAAATAATTAATTTAATGAAATGCCAACTTTAACGAGCTTTAATGTTTTGGCTTTGCAAGCCCCAAATTTAAATACAATTCAGAAGTATACTTTGGCCATATCTCTTTACTCTCAAACACACACACACACATGTATAATTCAGGATCACTCCAAATAAATTACACACTCAACGATGTCACTCCCACACACACACACACACACACACACACACACACAACAACGTTGTAATCAACAAAATTACACTAAAATACAAAGCAAAAAAAAAGAGAGGAGAGAAATAAATTTGACACGAATGCGTCGACGAGGATGACACAAAAGCGGCACCTTCCAAAAAAAAGGAAACCCTTACTGCTGCCCCAAAACCGAAACCCCCTTCCCCCGCATCCCCCTCCGTTCACATCCCCTTTGCCACCCGCCCATGAAAGCCAAAGTAAAAATGGCACAACGCTCGAAGCCAAACAATGTAAAAGTTGCTGCCAGGACATGACGAGGCGAGCAAGTGGCAGGCTCTGGGCTCCTGTAGGTGTGCAACCAAGTCTGTACACCGAAAGAAAAATATTCATTTTTATTTTAAAATAAAGTATTATAATTTTAGTTAAAAGCGTAAAACACTGTGAAGGAGTCATTTCCGACCCTATAAATCATATATATTCTTGATCAGCATCAAGAGGCGAGTCGATCTAGCCATCTCCGGCAGAGAAAAAAATTTATAAATTTTTGACAAAATTTTATAAGGGGTTACATGGTTAAAATTGTCTAAAAATTCTAAAAAAATGGAAACCCTTTAAATGTTTAGTGGAGTATGCAGTTTTATTAATCTAACAAAAACTAGTATAGGAAAGCTTACCGAATTAAAATTAATGAATTTTTGGCTTAGTTATGACTTTTTTAAACTTTTGATTTGTCAAAAAAATATCCTATAAAAATATTAGTTTGAATTCATTATAAAGTAAATATTTAAGCTATTTTTGTGGAGGTATATACAGAACAAAAAGTAATTGATAACCAAAAGCTAAACATTTTTTAATTCACCTGTAACATCTAAATTAATAAAATATAAATGCGACAAAATACAATACGATTTCTTAAAGTAAGTCTATTTTGATCATTTAATCTTTAACTATTTCCCCCCCCTCATTTCTTCTCTGTGTACTTTGACAGAAGTGTGCGCGTGTATGTGGGTGCCAGTGAGTGTGTGTCATGTGCGACACTTTGTAACATATTTTTCTCATTTGTTTCCACGGGCGTCTGTCTGCGTGTGAGTGTTTGCCGCTTTTTCGGCGTCACTCGTCAGTGTCTCCTTCCTCTCACTCTCTCCACTCCACTCTCTTTACTCTCTTTTCTTCCTTTATGTCAATTCACGTATGCCTGTGTGTGTGTGTGTGTGCTATATTGTTTTTGTCACGCAACACACTTCCTCCCCCCTTTGCTCTTCGTATCAATCAGTTAAAAATATTTTCCGCTGCCAAAGGTTGCTGTGTCCCCCTTAGTTGCTGTTGTTGTAATTTTTATGGCTACATTTATAACATTTATTTTGTATTTTTACGAGCTGAATTGTCTTTTGTTGCTTTATTATTATGTCTCACTTTGGCTTTTTATGAGAGTTTTCCTGTGGAAAAAAAGGCGAGAGCAAAGCAAGACAAAAAGGAAAAACTCGGGCACAACTGTGAGCGAAAACCAAATTGCCAGGCCGGGTAATGACATTTTAAGTGTGCTCCCCAGCCCCCCCGGAGGGGTAAAGGGTCTAAAAAATATTATAAACAAATATCTGGCAGGCAGTTTCAGAAAAAGTATAGGCCATAATTTGGTCATAACTTTGTTGTAGCAACTCAGGTAACACTTTTGAAGGACAATTTTTATGACAAATCAGTTTTAAATTTTATTTTTAGAGTAAAAATTAATTTTAAGAAATATTTATTTAATAAGAGTATCTAAAAGGTCTCATTTTCCTATTGCAAGTTTCGCTTTCTTGAGCCTTTGTGTTAAGCTTTGCCTATAATGTACAAGCAAACCATGTCTTGGAAGCAGAAAGTATCCAAATAATCATATAATATGCCATCAATTTTATTCCTTCTCATGTACTTTAAAAATTGTAATATATTAACATAAAAAAAAAGTTAAGTTAAGTTCTTAATTTTTTCCTCAACCAAGGCGACATCTTATATCAAGCCAGGACTGCACTTTTCATGCACGTTTAGACAATAGTTGTCCGGCACTTGGTATTTTTTTCACACCCCTCTCTCCCAGACACTTTAGAAAATGAACCAAACCCCGGCGAAAAAAAGAGAAACCCAACAAAGTATTTTATAATAACTTTTCTAACAATGGAATGCTTTGTTTTCGCTTTGATTAAAATATATATTTCTTCTTCTTGCCCAGCATATATATAAAGAGCCATCCTATAGCATAGATAGAATGGGGATTATGGAGGAAGGGCAGGGGAGAACCTAGTTATAAAACAAATTATGCATTATTAAAAACACAAGGGAATGGAAATGAAGCTTCGGAAGAAATGGAGAAGAAGCGGGAGCCACGAAGCGGCAAACTGACAATGAAGCCGCAAAAACTTGGCACAGCCAACACAAAAAAGTAAAGAAAAAATATAAAATATATATATAAGCAAAGTAAAAAATCACCATGGAACCCAGAACGGAATGTTAAATTTTATAAATAGAGCGAAGAACAACAGAGGGGCAAAGGGACAGAGGCAGGGCACGGGAGATTGAAGTGCCAGCAAATTTATGGAATACGTACATTTCCTATTTTTCCTATTTTCCTCTCCATTTTCCTTATTTTTTTGTTGATTTACTTTTGCTCTGCGCAAATTGAATCAAATGCAAAGGAAAGAGCAGGAGCAGGAGCAGGCAGGGAATGGCATGGAATCCTGGCGAAAGGCTGTCAAGGATTTCGTGTGCCGAGTTGAAAGGCAAACGAAGTTTTGTTCCTACGACAATTTGTCCTCTAGTCGCTGCAGTAAAAGCCAAAAGGCAAAGCTAAATCCAAAGCTAAAGCCAAAGCTGAATCCAAACCTGAATCTGAATCTGAACCTGACAAGCTGCAAAATATTTTATTATATGTAAGCAGAGGTGAGGAACAACTCAACTGACAATGAATGAAAAGGCAAACACAAAGCGGGAATCCGAATCAGAATCACTGAAAGCC